GAAGGGGAAGCAAAAAGCCAATATGAGCAGGTGGGAGGCAAGTGAAAGGACCAAAGAGCCACCAGGAAAACGGCCATGTAATGAATGCACCTCTCAGCTCTCGTATCCCAGAGGGAGGAATCTGCCCTATCCTCCCTGCCTGATGCAGGGCTGGCAGCAGCAGAGTCCAACTCCAGAGGAAAACAAAAGCTCTGGGGAAGACTTTGAAGTGAGTAGGAGAAACAAGAGTCCATGTTTACCCCCCAGCATCGATGGACCCAGCTCCAAATGGGTTAAATGTGCTCTGGAGCTTCCAGAGCCAGAGCTAACCTTCCTCCAAGCAGCTCTCTGCAGCCCACACGCAGCCGCACAGAGAGACGGGCGCGGAATAGGCAGGCAGCAATTTTCTCCCTGGCATTGCCACATAGGCTGGGTTAGCAGTATACCGCCCTGCTTGGGTTTTTATAGACAAAACAGTAGCACTTCCCTCCCTCGGCAGTATGCAGAAGCCTTTTCCTGAAGGAGGGGTTAGTGCTCTGCTGTGTTACTACCTGCCGACTGCTTTTCCCGCTCTGTCTACTACCCTGCTGCTGCGCTTTGCCCAGCTGAGCTCAAAATGCAGCACAGTTCTGCAGTGTGGTTCTCTCTGCAGGCTTTTCCCGGCTCCCACTGATGGGGCTCTCGACCTCCGCGCTGCTCCTCGGTGCAATCGGAGCACCAGGCTTAGGGCCAGCCGCGGATCAGCCAGGGACGCAGCGGACTGAACCGGGACCAACGGCAAAGCCGACACCAAGGGGAGCTGCACCCAACGCTGCTCAAGAAAATGGTGTTTCTGGATCGGCACCCGCCGGCTGCCCTGATGCTGAGGGTTGATCTGTTAGATCCAGAGCAGCCTGGTTTGCACTCATATCACCGTGCTTAAAGAACGATCACTTAATCTCACTTAGAAATGTTTACCCGCGAGGACCAGATGGCCCAGGGAGTTGGGCTAAACAAAGCGTTTTACTTCTAGGTCATGCCTTCTAATCCCAGCCAGGTTGGTGACAGATGAACACGTTCACCTGATAGCCACTTTCGGCTTCGTTTTTGGTGGTGTTCAGGCTGGTTTCCAAAGAAAGAGAGATGTCACGCCGCAAAATCTCCCCGTGTCCTGCCACGCTCGGTGCTGATTTGACTGTCTCCGTGGAGGAGACAAGGATCGAATGCCCCGTGGCGCCAAGCTGTGTTGCCTGCAGGTAAGGGGAAGTTGTCCTGCGTCTGGCAGTCCTGCCTGCTCTGCAGCTGGGCAGGATTTCATTTTGCAAGACTGCCAGCCCAGCTCCTTCCCCAACGTGAAATCCATTAAAAAAATAGGGAAATGTTTAATTGCAATTGACACATAGGCTCTCCACGCTATGAACTTTACACACAACCACAGATAACGGCATCAGAATGAATGCCCGCTTCCCACTTGTCCTGCTATAAGCAATAAACGTTTGGCAAGTCAGTAAATAACAAAATTCTCATGTGGCCATCTACAGGTCACCAGGATACTTAAGAAGTTTGCGTTAATTATACCATGTTTGCCATCAAAGAGGGGATATTAACCCTTTTGAGCTGTTGCAGGAAAGCGGTGGAGTCACTTGGAAGTAAGTAAACAAAATGTCACAAAAAAGAAATGCAATCTTTGCAAATTAAGGAAAAAAAAAAAGCACAAAACAGGAAAGATGTTTAAGGCAAAAACCTTGCTAGACATCATGGAAAATAGGCTACCTTTTCAGCTTTCCTTTTATTTATTTTGTATTTTGACATCAAACACTCCCTGTAACCTAATCTTCTTGGCTTTTGATGTGGCCGTGGAGACATGACAATTAAGCACGGCTTAAAACAATAATCCCGACAACGGGAACCAAAGGCAAGTAATGTCAGGGTCTCCCCCTCGCCAAGAGCTTGTCCCCCAGCGCTTGCTGGTAGTGAAAGGACCGTAAATCCCAGTTCGCTGCCTGGGAATCCGCTCTGCAGATTCAACTCTTCGTGTTGAACTTTACACGCTTGCTCCATTTCCATTCCCCGCTGTTTGTTTTCCTTCCGCTATGCGAAATGTCTGGAGACGAACGCGACGCGCACGCTGCGGAGGGGTGGGCCGATGCGGCCCGGATCGCGGCCTCCTCACGGACCCGCGATGCTGCCGGGGTCCCGTTTCTGGAGCGGCGCCCGCGGTGAAGCCAGGGCAAGCCCCACGCCGAGAGCCCCTCAGGGGATGCCACCAAAGCAACATGGCCTGATTATTCCAAACTGCTTTAAAGCGACGCTCCCCTTCTCTCGCCAGCGGCCATCCCGGCCATTCGGAGGCGGAGGGAGGGTGGCAGAGTTCACTTATTGCCCTGTTTTAAACCTGCACGGAGACGAGCGTGTTTCTTCTTAAATGAAGCTACCGCAGATGTAACTCTGCTGTAAAAGCTGCCTTTTTTTTTTGATTGTTTTTTAATGGTTGTTTGCACTAAGCCTCGCTGGACGAGTCGAGAGAGACGCTGGCCTCATTGGCAGTGGGAAGGC